GGGCATCAGTAGGTAGTTTCTGAATGGTAATCAACAAACTGATTTTGTTACTGATAGAAAATTATAGGATTGGGACATTTAGAAATTTGTAAGGTTTAAACAAATCTGATTTTAAGAGTTATAGTCTTCAGTTTCACAAATCATCTTTCTAGTAGAGTAATTATAATATCAACCCTATCATACTGGCTGTAGCAATAGAAGAGCAATAGATATTAAGAGATGATGAGACATTACCAAAGTTTACAAGTGTGCTGTCGAGGAAGGAGAGTGTGGTTTGAGCCAGAAGACCTGGGATTTGGTCCCAGTCAACACGACTTGCATAAATCACTTAAGTTTTTTGAGTCTAATTCCCTCATTAGTAAAATCAAAGGAAAAAAAAAAAAAAAAACCCAGGGTTTTCATTAAATGAGATACTAATTTGGAAATGTTCTAGAAAAGATAATGTATTAAATGACAATTGGCACTGTACTGTTTAAATAGAAAACATGATTTAGCCTATATTTAGTGCAATCTTTTAGGAAGCTTTTAAGACTTACAAAATCTTACTATCAATAAGTTTAGGAATTTGATTATATTAACAGAACGCTTTTGTCTTTTTTTTGAATTTGAGCTTTTAAGATAAGGGATGCCTATTTTATCCTTGCTGAAAGTATGAACAGAATAAACAATGACCTCTGTGAAAAGTCTTCTGTGAGCTTACAATAAAGTCAATTCCTGTGTCATTGCAGAATAACTGATCAATGGATATAACCATTGGTCCAGTGAGTATTCATGTTTAATAATTAAGATAATCACTAATTTCCACTGCTGTTTCTTTGCCACTTTATAAGGCATGCACTATTGGTCTTTTAATATTTTTCTCTCATTGACCATGGAATCTAAATCATTACATGTTAGTTATAGCCCTTTACAATGCCCAGTGGCGTTTGCCACAATAATAATAAATGATGTCGAGCCAAAGCTGCTAGGAGTGAAATGCGGAAAGTAAAATCATAATAAATAACTGTCACTCTATTACTAAACAGTGCCTGAAATTGGTTCTAGCACATGTTCAGTATAGCAGAGTCTGCACAATCCAATAACCAAAAAGGCATTTACTCCTTAGTAACAGCAGCAAACTAAAAGGAATCCAGACACTTGTCTTGTACAATGACCAGGAATTCCACACTGAACTTGGCATGAGTATTCAAATAATACTCAACAGAATCTACTTTAAAATTTCACAGTAACTTTTCAAAGTGATGCTGTTCATGCAATGCACCAAAAGATATACTCAGTCCAATGGATGGATTGTAGCAATGCTGAATAGATTGTGATGATAAGGTCTCAGATGGATATGAGAATGAACTTATGAAAAGCATTATAACATTGTAAGGAATATGGGACTATTAGGGATATAAGATGTCTGGTAGAGATTATAAAACCCACTAAATATGATCTTGATTCTGGTCAGATGATTTAAGTGGGGGACAAATTTGAGCTATCCTCCTTGGCCATCTTTCTCAATAAATTTCAGATATGAGAATAGAATATGTTGTAACAAACTCATAAGATAGGTATACAGTAAAAGAGTGCTACTGAAGTCAAATTGTCCACAATATAAAATAAGTCCTCTTTAAAATTTAAAAGAAAAGTTATATCTTCTCCTTCTCAGACAGCTGTGGCATCCTTTGCTCTGTCCTCTCTCTTATTTCATTGATGATGTATCAGGTTTGTCATGGAGGTGGTGGTTTGTTGTTTTTAGTAAAGGATTCATTTTACTAACTTTATTCCCTAAGTGAACTGACATGAACTGACATGTGGTAATCACTAAAGGTCTGAGTCTGCAAACACAATCCACTTTCTAGGTAAATTACATAAATCTTAGCTTCATTGTATAGCAAAGTTAATGCAAGATTTCAGTAAATTGCGTATATAATTTTCTTTTCTTGTTTTCTCCCAAAAAGCAGAGCCTGAAAGGGAAGGTAGTTTATTTTAGAAATAGATATTAATGAACAGAACTGAGAGCCTGGAAAGAAGAATCGGGAAGGGAGAATCAATCCAAAGAGTTGTTATCAAGCTGGTTACTATTTGATCCCACTGGGGACCCTTTGAGGACTTGTGGAAAATGCATTTCAGAATTATCATCCCAGGAATGGAAGAGGATGTATTGATCAAGAGCTGCTCTGTGTGGAGTTAATGCCTCACAAAAGGTTGTGTATGTATTATAATGACTGAACAGTTTTCAGAGGGATTCTATATGAGAGAAGCAGGGAAGTCTCAAGGCAGGAAACGAATAAAATATGAGTTACTTGGAATTTATGAAGAGGAGATATACAAGAGAAGAGAATAGCCATGTTGAATATAGTGTTGCCTCCATTAGGTTTGGTGGTAGGGATTGACCGTGTCACTAGACAATGGTAAGGTTATGACACAGGGACATTCCAAATGAAATGGACCATCAGAGAACTGCACGCAGTGGAACACAAATCTAGAATACAGAGTAGTTTCAGGGTGATTTCCACAAAGCTAGAGGTAGTGGCTTCCCTGAAAGATTCTTAAGATCCAGAACCATGGAGATTAGCAATTTTATACACTGTGATGGGCAGGAGGTCATCTAGCTGGCCTGTATCTAGGCCAAGAACAAAAGTACAAACAAAAACAGTAGTAATAAGAACTTTACCTTCTTATCATATAGTTTTAAAGTTTATAAAACACTCCCATATGTCTTATCTTATATGAAATTACCAATTATGCTGTGAGGACATACAGCATTATTCACCTAATTTTCAGATGAAGAAATTTGAAGTTCTTGGGTTTTAAGGGTCTTAACCGAGGCTTCATTATCTACATTTGATGAGCCATAATGAGAGCCCAGGCATGGTTATCCTAATCTTAGCATTCTAAAAAGTACCATAATTTTAATAAAATTTCCTCCCATCAATTACTTTGTAAGGTAACACCTACCCTTCACCTCCCGTGCCTCAGCATCAGCCTGACTGTACCACTCAGTGCACAGAAAGCATGAGCCATGAGAAAAGCTTAGCTGTAGCAAAATGTATTTGCAATTCCATTACTGTTTGTAAGATTTAAATTTCATACCAACGATGACAATTAGCTTTGAAGGAAACTAAATCCTGATGCTGTGTGAACCCAGATAATTTCCAACACAAACTGTCTTCTAGAAGACTGACAAATAACCCCTCCCCAAAACAGCAAGAAATGGAAACTCAAGAAAGTGGCATCACCCAATATATTTAATATTACTAAATACTAGCTATCTGGCTATGTTATAACGGTGTCTATTTGTAGAACATTTTCCTCAACCGAAAGATAAACATGGAAGGTTCCTATTATCAAACTTGGAGAAAAATAACATTTCTAACAAAATATAGGGCTTTGTGGCCAAAAATTGCTAGTTCTAGGCCATCTGAATATCTGAAAACATGGGACTTTCCTAAATTTATCTTTTTTCTTATTATATCTCACCATATTTTCTGTATTTTATAGTAAATGAGAAAATACTTGGTAAACTGTAAAATATATATATATATATAAATGCAAGGTAATTAGTGCTAATAAAAGATAGTAAGGCTCTGATAAGATGGCTCTTTTTACATTCATTTCACATATGTGAAGGTAGATAAATAGAAACAAAATATTTTTACATAACATGTTGTGGGATTATAAAAAGGCAATCAAACAAAGTAGTAGGAACAGAATCTACCTCTTTGCATCAGTTTAAAATCAGATATTTCTCAATTCATTTACCTCATTTTTCATTCTTAGGAAATAGATCCAAAGGATTATGGGTAAAATTTGGTAAAGTTTAAAATTTGTTTCAAATCCATTTCCACAAATCATAGAGTACAACAGTATGTCAAAACATTTAAGGAATATTAATATTTTTATTTAAGGTAATGTGCACTGACATGCATTTGTGACATAGAGTTTACCAAATAGGTCCTTGATTGAAATGCTTCTGAGGAGATTGCATAACAATAAGGCTACATTTTTATGTAGCCTTTCTGTGTAAAATTGTGTCCACATCAGATAGGCCCATGAGGGACCAGGACACAGAGGGAAATATTAACAATTTGTTTCCATCTCTAAATTTTATGTCGCTGAATTTAACTTATGTAATAATAATAGTAATAATGATTATCATAATCATATTATTGCTGTTATTACGATAAATAATAATCAATAGTTCTCAAAACTTCCTATGAACTAGACACTGTTTAAGTGCCCTGTTAATCAACTTAGATAATTCCTGCAGTAATCCTCACACAGAGGATACTATTAGTATCTTAATTTTACAAATGAAGGAAGAGAAAGCTAATTGACTTTCCCAAGTAACACAGCAGGAGGTGGCCGATTCAGGTGCATTCCTAGACAGTCTTAGCCACTATGCTGTACTACCTGGATTTCAGATCCAAATTCTGTAATCTGGTCTGCAAGTGCAAGTATGCCAAACTTTCAGATTCCCATGCTTTGGATGTGAGTAAAGTGAAGTACGGTATCTCAGAGTAATTCAGAAATTGGGATTAATATCTTTGGTGTTGTATATATTCTTTGTGTATCTGTTGGGGGGAGGCGGGTGTTCAGGGTAGGTGCAGAAGAAGTTATTGTAGAAAGGAAGAAAAGTAGGGAAGTATTGACTTAAGAGTTTTCCCCCTAGAATTTCAGACTGTATTTACAACTTCTTGGTTTTTCTTTTCTACTCTAAGCAAACATGTACATATTTCACTTTTATATTCCCATGACTCCTATAAAGATCAAAAGCAGTATGGAGTGATTCACTACCTGACCTGAAATGGCCTCACTGTGAGCTCTCAAGATAGAGGAAATAATTCCCCTCATGCTAATCCCCCTGAATTTTAAGGCTTCTCTCCCTGTGTGTCACAAAACCAGCTCCAGATCCAGGAGTCCCACCCATGAGAAGCTGTCTAGATTGACAAGGAGAGGGCACAGCCCTCAACAGCACAGCACATAACTCTCCCTCCGGGGAGGTGACATACCCTGTCGGTTTTCCCTTCCGTCTGAACACTGGTGTGACTACGGACCTCGTGATCCTCTTCAAGGTCAGAAACATCCTCCAGTTCCTCTGGGGTCTATAAAAAGAAAGGAAAGCATTGCTGATAGGAATGTAGATCGATGTAGCCATTTTGGAAGACAGTCTGGCAGTACCTCAAAAAGGTAGTCATGGAGTTATATCATATGACCTAGCAATTCCATTCCTAGCTATAAACCCAAGAGAAATGAAGGTATATGTTAAAACAAAAATTTATACACAAATGATCATGGCAGCATCATACATAATAGTTAAAATGTCCAAACTGCTTCAACATACATCTATTGATGAATAAATATACAAAATATGGTATATCTATACAATGGAATATAATTTGGCCATGTAAAGGAGCAGAGGACTGGTCCATGCTGGAATATGAGTGAATGTTGAAAACTATGGCAAGTAGAAAAATCCAATCACAAAACATCATATATTGTAAGAGTCCATTTATATGAAATATCTAGAATAGGCAAACATATAGAGATAGAGATTTGATTAGTGGTCACCAGGGACTGGGGGAAGAGAGAATGGGCAATGACTGCTACTGGGTATGTGGTTTCTCTTCTGGATGATGACAATGTTCTGGAGTTAGATAGTGATAATGATCACGCAACCTTGTGAATATATTAAAAATGCAAAGTTTTATACTTTAAAATGGTGAATTTTATGGTATATAAATTATATCCCAATAAATTTTGAGAGAAAAAACAAAGCAAAAAATGATCAGAAGGAAGTTTTTCTTTCAGTGAATAGCAATTTGGCTACCCACTCTGTGGTCAACCCAAACCAATGTGCTTGCAGTTGATAAATAAACTGAATAATAATTGTTAAAATCATATGCCATAAAAATGCCACCCAAAATTATCAAGAAATTAATTTTTATGAACTTAAGAAGTAATTCAACTTAAACTTCAGTGTCTATTACAGATAGTTGGCTAACTGTCATTTCTTTTTTAAATTTCAACTTAAACGCTTCTTGCTTAGGGAGGTACCTTGATCAGAAATCCTCTAGACCGGGATGGATTCCTTTGCCAAGTGTTTCCTTGTCCCCTCTACTTTCATTGTCATAATGCTCATCATACTTTGTCATACGATTGCTTGCTGAATTAGGCAGCTAATTGTTGAACTGTCTACTCTGTGAGGCAAGGGCACATCTTCCCTGATTACTATCATTATCACCACAACCTAGTTCACACATGCTTTTGAATGAGTAAATCAAAATTATCAGTGATAGACAAAAAGACAGTTGGAAATGAGCAAAACAAAACAGATAAAACAGATCAACATCAATAAGACACACTTGTCCTAACAATACCTTTCGCTGTGTTTCCATCTTCCTTATTTCAAACCAGTATTTTTTGTTTCGTGTTGTTTTTCCTAACTCAAAGTTTTTATTCCCTTAGTCCGAATGTAGCAATAATTTAAAGATAACTGTCATTATTGCAAATACAGGTAAAGGTACTTAACAAGACTTAACCTAATATTTGTTTCAGTTTACATGGTCTCAACTTTATACTATGTTTTCTTTGTTACAAAGCCCTAGTGACAAACCCAGAAAATGAAAATTTAGTTTTCATGAAAAACAACCAAAAACAAAGTGAACGATGTCCTTGGTGTCCTTGGGTCTGCATCTCTCCTGCACACATAGCTGTTGAAGACTGGAACGGGGCAGGGCCTGCCTGCTTAGACCAGCCTTGATTTCCCTTAAACCTTGCTTTGCACACAAATTTTTTTTTTAATTTTTTTGCACACAGATATTTTGTTTATTTTCAGGGTTATCGAAAACCTTCCTTCCCTTGGGACCACTCCAGAGATAGGGATGTTTGATGATTAACTCACATTGTAGAGCAAACTACTAATTTCCTATCCATTAATGCCTTCAGATTCTTTCCCATCTCATGAATCTTTAACCAGCACTTTGTTCTCAAACACTTGCACTGAGCAATACTCACCCCTTTGCAGAGAAGCCTTTTGCATTTATTTCAACTGACTCCTATCAGATATTAATATTCCCCCCTCACCAAGGCCTCCAATATGGTATTTGTTAGCTATATGTTGATCTCTATGCAGTTCTTTCCTGCAACTATGTGTAGCTATAATCATAGGGCAATTTATCCTCTCTTCTTTGGTATTAAAAGGATGAGTTCATCACTATGGAAATTCTACAAAATCATATATTTAATTATTAGCCAATCTGTGTATTCTTCTCACAGTATTCTTGAGAGAACATCTTTGCAATTTCCCTCCTTGATACATAACCAGGCCCTATAACATCTGAATAAATTCAGTTAATCGAATTCTCTTGTTTGTGTGCTGTTGTTTTGCAATTGAAGGCTGTCTGGTGTCTCTACTGTGATCTGTTTCTTACAAATGTCTGTTGCTTATTGCTTGGGTTATACCCTGTCAGTAGTGACATATAACTTCATCATCTCCTTCAATATTTCATTCAACCCTCAAATAAAGCAACATACCAGAAACTAAGAACAACTGCTGTTATCAGAAGTCACAAGTACCACTTTTGTTGGTGATACTGCAGGAAGAGATAAGCCTACCATATTCACACCCACATACTTCTGTGCTTTTCTTTGTATTTAACATGGGACTAATAGTTCTCTTACAAAGCCATCAAAACTGACCTCTTCCTTTCATGAACAAAATCAGTGGAGAAGTGTTCAAAACACATACTGGCAGCATTTCACATTCTGTAAGGCAAGAGTTAGATGGTATTGTGAAAATAAAAGTTAAACACACAATGTTACAGTTTAAATTAAGTGAAAACTAAGAAAGAGAGAGGAGTACTCTAATCATTGTTGATTGTTGGGTAATCCTTTAACTCCTTCAGCACTGAAGACAAATAATAGAAAGAGCAAGTTTTTTTTTTTTTTTTTAAACAAAAAAGAAAGAAGAGTGATGGGCTACCGTAAATCATGCATTCTTAAAAATAGTTTTCTTTTACTCATTCGGTAACTTTAGAAAGTTAAACATCCAGAAAGTCTGTGCATTTGCATATGTGTGTGTGTGTGTGTGTGTGTGTGTGTGTATCTCATCAATTTTCATTTCATGAAATGAAAGATTAACTATCTCAGAGGCAGTATCATAAAGTAGAAAGGCCCTATATTGTTGAATAATTCAGATTTGAATTGGAATTCTGGCCCTCTATTGAGTGATTATTGGACTTTGGACAATTTGTGTATCCTTTCAAGCTTTGGTTTCCTCAGAACAAAATTTGGATAATCATACCTAACTCCAAAGGTTATTGTGAGGTTCAACTTTACTAGATGCTTTGAGTAAGAGCTTAGCCCACAGACATAGCTGGGGTGCAGCAAAAATCTGTTTCTTTCTGTCTTTTGCTTTTTCTACTCTTCCTCCACTTTTCTATCCCTCATTCCATCACATCCCTTTATATGTTTTTATAAAATTTTTATGTAAATTTGGATGCCTCCATTTTAATCCAAATTTATTTTTGAACTAGAACCTTGGATAAGCCACTAAATATTTCTGTACTTTAGATTCTATACAGATATTATTCTGGATTGGCATGCTACTTACTAGCTGCCTCTAGTTACATTCACCTGATTTTAACTATATAATTTCATTATACTAAACAGGGTTTAATATAATTTCACATGCATTGCTTTCTTCTAAACACCAAGTAAGAAATTTCTTTTGATTGAATTTTAATCATGTCTAAGAGTAAAATTATCTCTTAAACTGGCCCCAGAAAAGATTCACTCTAGCGTAGATTCTCAGATATAAAGGAAATAATTTGCCTTCTTTAAGCTGAGCTGTCACTAAACCAGACCAAGAAGAAGATGGTCCATTTTTCCAGAAAGAGCAGTAATAAACACAGGCATTAATCAGTTACTTCTCATATCGGATTTCAGGGAATTTCTTTCTTATTTTTCTGTTACAACTCTTTCTTATTATGGAGCTTTCCTTAGGCAACCCTAAAATGATTTCAAATAGGCTTAACTTCCTCACCTGCAAAATGGCATAATTACTACCTAATTCTTAGGGCTATTGTGAAAAAATAAAATAAAACAACGAACTAGAACATTATTCAGTAGCTAGAAAATACTGAATTTTCAATATTGTTTATGATTATTATAGAATATCATTATTTTTATCTCACTTTATTATACAAAAGAGGCCAAAAATAAGTACAGAAACTTGGAAACATTCAGGCCAAGGTTTTTATGTAGAAGCTGGAGCCACAATGACGCAGTAGTAGTACATTAAGACATCAGGATCACAAGGGATTTCATATATGTATATCCTTTTTTCCCCAAGGACTTCAACACTTTCTATTAATATTTCTATAGATATTATCTCATTAATTCTTTCAGCATCTCTAGCGAGATAGGTGGCAGTACAACTAAAAGTTCACTTGTACAGACTTTGTAAATGTTTAATATTAAAATAGGAAATAAAATTGTGGCCACAAAACTGCAAGAAAAAAAAAGAAAGATGGAAAAAATAAAAAGAAGTAAAGGAAAGAAAGAATAGAAGAAAAGAAAAGAAAATGATACCCTGGGAAACAGGATTATGCTTGGCTTCCTCTCAGAATTAAGGTTGAATTCTGAATGATATACATGATTTAACCACAAATACTTGCTGGCCATACTTCATCGATTTACTAAAATCAAATAACCACCGTAGTAATGTCTGTAGCAATCTGACACCGAGAGAAGCTCTTAGGAAAGGTGCTACGGATATTCATCTCACAGAAGAGGCTGGCATCACATCTTCAGTGATTTCATCCCAGCTAAGTTGGTAACATAGAATAATTTGGGAATGTCAAAATGGAAAGTTAAGAATTTAAATACATTTTTAAAATAAGAGTACATATACAAATAACACAATTTCAAATTACAGAAAACTAAGACATGTTTCTTGTTGAATACAATGAAACACTACACTCCAGGTTCCCCACCTCTGACCAAGAATTGACACTCTATCATCCTAAATATTCAAGAAATCAGTGACATTCCTGGCACACTTCACCTTTTTCTACTCGTCGAATGTGTCCCACTCATCAGC